AGCTGTGCCTAAGCAACCTGCCTATTTCTTCTCCTTGGCAGTCACAGCACCACCCTCTGGGGATTTCACCCATGATAGTGTTTCCACGAAATCTGCTTGGAGGAATGCCCAATTTCCAAGAAAATCCCCTGAGATGAGAGCTTCTTGTCCATCCCAGTACCCTCTCCCCAAGCCAAGTTGTCTCACTAAAAACTGTTGGATGTCAGGAAAAAAAATAGAAAAGAAAAATCAACAAGGAAATGAGAGTTTTGAATGACACGCTGGCCCAGATGGACTTAACAGATATATTCAGAGCATTTCATCCTAAAGAAGCAGAATGCACATTCTTTTAGAGCGCACATGGAACATTCTCCAGGATAGATCACATGCTGGTCACAGGTCAGGTCTTAACCGGTACAAAAAGATTGAGATCATACAATCCATATTTTCAGACCACAACACTATGAAACTTGAGGTCAATGAAAAGAATAAATTCGGAAAGTCCACAAATACATGGAGGTTAAAATAACATCATACTAAAGAATGAATGGGTTAGCCAGGAAATAAAGAAGAGATTAAAAAAAAAATACATGGAAACTGGTATGCCTGGGTGGCTCAGAGGTTTAGTGCTACCTTCAGCCCAGGGCGTGATCCCGCAGTCCCAGGATCGAGTCCCATGTTGGGCTCCCTGCATGGAGCCTGCTTCTCCCTCAGTGTCTCTGCCTCTCTCTCTGTGTGTGTCTCTCATGAATAAATAAATAAAATCTTAAAAAAAAAACATGGAAACAAATGAAAATGAAAACACAATAGTCCAAAATGTAGCAAAAGCAGTTGTAAGAGGGAAGCATATAGCAATCCAGGCCTTCCTGAAGAAGCAAGAAAAGTATCAATCAAATACACGACCTACCCTGACACCTATAGGAGCTAGAAAGGGAGCAGCAAATGAAGCTTAAAGCCAGCAGAAGAAGGGAGATAATAAAGACTAGAGCAGAAATAAACTATATAGAAATAAAAAGAAAACAGAATAGATCAATAAAACTAGGAGTAGGTTCTTTGAAAAAATTAATAAAATTGGTAAAGTCCTAGGCAGACATAACAAAAGAGGGGGGGGGGAGAGAGAGAGAGAGAGAGAGAGAGAGAGAGAGAGAGAAAGGACCCAAATACTTAAAATCATGAATGAAAGAGGTAAGATCACAACCAACACCACAGAAATACAAACAATTATAAGGGAATATTATGCCAAGAAACTGGGCAATCTGGAAGAAATGGATAAAGTCCTAGAACATACAAACTACCAAAACTGAAACTGAAAGAAATAGAAAACTTTAACAGATCAGTCACCAGTAAAGAAATGGAATCAGCCATCAAAAACCTCCCAGAAAACAACTCTGGGCAGCTCTCTGCTGCATATAATCAGAGGACCCTAAAATTTGAAAGGTAAAAACGAAAGCCAACCAATAGAAAAAAGCAACTCAGCTCAACTAAATTAAAAAGCAGGCTGAATGTGGCAGGAGAAAAACTCCCAGGCCAAGGACCGGGGCTCACGAGCCTGTGGCCCTGGGGTGGGGGTGGGTGGGGGTGACACCGTCCTGGAGCCCTCACAGGCATCCTGACTCTGCACCCGAGGAACGGGGGACGATCAGCAGTGTATTTCCTGAAGTGTGGGGTGCCTCGGTCAGCAGCACTGGTGTCGCCCTGGGGCTTGTCAGCAAATTCTCGGACTCCACTCAGGCCTAGTGAATCAGGCACTAGCCCAGCTGATCTGTGTGTTAACCGGTCGGTCGCCTCGTGATTTCTGAGCACGTGGCTGTTTGGGAGCCACTGATGCCTGTGCCGCTCCCCTGGGGAATGTCCCCTTTTTCTTCCCTCGTCCCATCCCAACACTACTGCCTCCTCTATCGTCCCCTCGGCAGATGCCACCTCATTCCCTACTTCGCTGAGAAGACTGAAGAAGTCGGACGAGGACTTCCACAGCTGCCACCACCTGCCACCCACGCACCAGCACCTGTGCTCCCCGTGGCCAAGCTCCTGTCCACAGGTACTGCGCTCAGGCACTCCCACCTCGTCCACCTCCTAAGGACATCACTCCAGTGCTGCCCCCGGTCTGTCCAGGGGCACTTTAAAAAAAAAAATCTACTCAATTATTCATACTCATCCACTCACAAAAATGCTATTATTTTTCTGAACTTAAAAGTTTTTTCTTGATCTTATTTCTCTAACCAACTATGGCCCCATTTCTTTCTTTTACAACAAAACTTCTTATTTATCTTAATTTTATTTATGAGAGAGAGAGAGAGAGAGAGAGAGAGAAAGAATGAGCCCAAGCAGGGGGGAGAGGGAGAAGCAGGCACCCCGCTGAGCAGGAAGCCCAACACAGGGCTCGACCCCAGGACCCTGAGATCATGACCTGAGCTGAAGGCAGACACTTGACCGACTGAGCCACCCAGGCACCCCTACAATAAAACTTCTTCAAAGTACTGTCTACACCGCTGACAAATTCACCAGTGACCTCTAACTAACGAGTTGCCTTGTTCCTTCTCCCCCTCCCCCCTCCCTGTTCCCCACAGCTGATACAGAATTTGAGAACTTCCTCTGTGAAGAAATGGTTTGAAAGGCCAGCCTATCCCTTCTGGGGACTGTGGGGAGTATTTACTTGGTTATGACGTGTGATGGCATTGCTCAGGACACGTTTTATTCTCTTATGGGCAATACTTTAAAGACTGGTGTGAACTCCCCATTGACATGTGATGGGCACTGCTCTGGTGGATGATCCTGTGAAGGCCACCACGGCCGACCGGGGACAGAACGGAAAGATCTCTGTGGGTCACTGAACAAAGAATAGGCCAGAGAAGTGGAAGACCCAATCTCTCTCAACTCTCAGAGTTTTTTTGTAGGCCTGAGATTGTGGCTTGGTTACTCCTTGCTCCTATGGTACCTCCTCCCCTTGGAAGACCTTGGGGCAGGGAGGTGTGCACTGCACGCGCACGCACACACACGGACACACACGCACACACGCACGCACGCGCATAGGTGGCCGGAAGCTCCAGGCTGCCAGGGGCAGCAGTGACACTGCATTGTCATGAAGCGCGGGATTCTGGAGCTGCACAGACCTGGGTTTCATTCCACTACCTCGGGGAGTGAGCCTGTTTCCTCGTGTAAAGCTACTACAGCTTCCTTCCCCCCGCCCCCCAGAGCACTTACATGTGACCACATTCTCAACTTAGCTCATTTTAACCCTCCCACCAACCAAATGAAGCTATCCTGATTATTGTCCTGATTTCCTGGGGAAAAAACACAAGAAACAACCTTGAGGCTCAGGAAATTTGTCTGAGTTCACACAAGTGATTGAATCAGAGGTAAACACAGGCGTTCAGGTTCGTAACCTCCACTACCTAAGCCCCTTGATGGTGGGGCTCGGCCTCTTCTTCACGCCAGAGGGCGCCACACTGCAAGGCTGGGTGGGCACTTACCTGGAAGCTTCACCCGGGAGGCTTACTGCCCCCGCCCCACCATTCAGAGGAGCTCTGTGGTGTCCCGCAAAGGGGGGGCCTCCTGTGCATCTGACCGCTCAAGGCTACTCACTCCCGACAGGTGTTCAGCAAGCAGGACTGTGAACTCAGAGGACTGTGCCCACGAGCGTCCGTCAGGTCACTCTCAGCACCTGGCACAATGCCTGGCACCCTGTAGGTGTGCGACAAACCTGTGCTGAACGAAGGATTCAAGCCTCCCATCTCCAAGTAGCGTTTGTGTACAGATCCCCAGCCCTCTGGGATCACTGCTGCTTCCAGTGACCTGACTCCGGGGAGTCAGTCTTGGTGAAACGGGGCCTCGAAGGAGCCTGCAACCTTGCTCTGATCGGGAAGGGCAATGATGCGACACTGACTTCCGGGGCCATGGGCCAGATGACTAGCAGGCTGATGGGCATCAGGAGGGGACAGTGATTTTGAATATTGACATCTGCTCTCCTTAAGTCAACATGCTATGGAAAAATTGAGACCTGCGGGTGGCATCTTCCACTGTGATTGGGGTTATCCGATGCCCTTGCCGGGCCAATCTTCCACAGCGTCCGTGTTTCGAAGCCCAGCTTGCAGACATGCTTTACTCCAGAACCTGAGTTCTCACCCTTTGGAGTCCAAGACCACGTCGAAGCTCTGAAGAAACTAGGAACCCTCTCTCCAGGTAAATATTCATAGGCAGATGCATATAAACCGTCACACACAATCCAGTGGGCTCCTGGCTCCCCCAAACTACCGTGGCCCCATCCCCACGGCAACCCAGCTGCAGGCTGGACTTGAGGCCCATGAAAGGGCCCCTCCAAACTGCAGCAGAGCCGGGGATGGAGGAAGGGCCGTCTGTCAAAACGTTTAGGGAACCTGACTCAGGTCAGATCACTGCTTTTGTGAATTCGGCAAATGAAGAAATAGATGCTAACAGCAGTACAGTTACACGGAGACCCCCCCACACCCCCGGCCTGGAGGTGGAGGGCAGGAGGCCGGAGCTGAGGACAGGACAGAGAAAGGGGCCCTGCTGCTCCTGTCCTCGTCACGTGCTGCTGCTCAAGGGCTCGCCCAGGTTTCAGTTCTTACTTTCGGGGGGCGGGGGGCACCTAGGGGAGGGGTAGTGGGTGCAAGGCGGAGTAGGACCACTGGCGAGAACTGTCTGGGTCTGTCCTCCATCCCAGCGCTAACCCTGGGCCAGGCTGTCCGCCTTCCCACAGCGCTGTGTGCCACCTCCAGCGGCGTGGTCGCCACGTGTCACCAGAAGGCCCATACTCTGCACCAGCTGAGCCTGTGCTGCTCTTACCATCACTGTCCAGCTTTCAGGGAGCCTTGGGGTTCACAGGGGCCGCACGTGCAGAGACCTTCAGTTACGGTTCCACTGAACGATCAGGACGTCGTAAGGACGGCAGCTGCCCTGTGTTTAAGTGGAGAATGAAATCTTCGCAACCGTGACGGATGCCCCTGGACAAACCTCACTCACATGCGCACAGAGGTGAGAACAAACGAGGAGCCCGCAAGTCATCATCGCAAAACTCTTTACTAACAAGACCAAAGAACCCCACACACTTTTTTGTGGCCATCGGCCTTTTTTTTTTCTTTCAAATTTTAAAATGGGATTGTGCATACATTTATTTTTAAAATTAAGACACATTTTGGAGGTCACAGACAAGTCAAGGGATCATCACTGTGAGAGGTTTCGAGATCTGAATTCCAAACACTTAGAACCGTGAGCCTAGCCGTCTGCTCCTTGAAGGGGCTGCCGTTTTCTGCCCTGCCTTCGGGGACAGACGCTGGGCCTGTCCTGCCGCAGCCACGGGGCAGGCGCTAGGAAGCGGGCCTTGGCACATTCGTCAGAAGGAGGCCTAACGCTTACTTGTCATACGTGGTGAGAGGCTCAGGGAAGTGGGTCACCTGCTGTTTCCGGTCTGGAGACACGTGTCCAGGATCAGGGCTTCCGCGCTCCGGGTGGGGCAGGTTGTACGGGGTGCGTCGGGGCGCACCCCATGTAGTCCCACCGGCTTCCCCTACGGAAGGAATGAGGTTGGGGCAAAGCTCTCAGCTGCAGCCCCAAGGCAGGCAAGGCCTTGGAGGTGGGCTGGCGTGTGTGCGTGGTTTGGGTGAGGCAGGTGCGGAGGGAGGGAGCAGTGCTGTTTGGCTGGGCCCTGGGGTCGGGTGAGCACTCCTGCCTGACAGCCCCCCTCAACACATTCAGGACGACGGGGGTGGGCTGCCCGAGAAGCACAGGAGCAGGTGCCGGGGCAGGCTAACAGGTGACCATGAGCGTTTATGCTCTGGAAGCCATCAGCCTACCTTGAGAGAAGGCAATCATCTTAGGAACAGTGTCTGGGGGCTGCCTGGGGGCCCAGCGGTTGAGCGGCTGCCTTTGCCCAGGGCATGATCCCGGGAGCCCAAGACTGGGTCCCGCATCGGGCTCCCTGCAGGGAGCCCGCGTCTCTGCCTCTTTCTTTGTGGGTCTCTCATGAATAAATAAAATCCTTAAAAAATAAAAAAACAAAAACAAAAACCCCAGTGTCTGCAATGAAGGGATCGTGAGGCATCATTTAGAGATGGAAGGTCACATGTTAGGGTGCCGGCCCCACAGACAGGGCTCAGCAGCAGCCTACGGATTGCATACGCGTGAGAAGATTTGTCTTTTACATCGATTTTCTTGCTCCTTTATGAAAGGAGTGGAAACAAGGGCTGACACATGATTAGACTGTCCCTCCTAGACAGGGACCACACTGCCAGAGAAGCCTGTCTGGGCTCCTAGGACCCATGCCTTAGCTCCCAAGAGGAAAAGCACATGGAAAGTCCTAGGCCACTTGTATCGTGATGACAAAATTTTCTAAAAAGTGAAATCCCCATGAGGGTGTGCTTACCCAAATTAATGTCCATCTTTTTACATAAAACATGTCAGACCCACAACTTTCTGGGTTCACGTTTTCCCTATGTATAAATGCAGACTAATCCCGTTTTGGCTTAATAGGTTTCAACAAACGTGAGATTTCAATCACCCAAAAGTAGACCAAAAAAACGACTGTATTCCTCCCAAATTTATAGTGTGATAACTCAGGAAACTTTGCAGTATGTTTAATTGTAGGGACGTGGGAACAGTTGACTATCTGCTTATCGCCATCTGGAATTGAATCCACTGAACTTATAATAAGTTATGATGTTGATAAAATTGAGGTGCTGTCCATTTTAATACCATAAACCAAATGTAGAATTCCAATGCTTCATCACTGCTGCTTGACTTACAATGTGGCCAGGAAAGGGCTTCCCTTGAACGTTCTCTGCCACCAAGCCCACTGCCCAGGGCGCTGGGACCGAAGGAGCCCTGGGAGCCCCACACAGGGGCCCGACACTTGTGCGAAGGACAGGGAGCCCCGGGAGAGCTGCCCTGCATGCCTGGTGGTCTCTTAAAAACACTAAGGGTGAACACAAGACACAAAGTGGGAGCGTTCAACTACCCTGTGCAACGGCCCAACCCGCACCCCCAGCCATTCCAGCAAAAGCCCTCTTATCTGTTCTGTTTCTTTTCAGCTTTTGGAACGGTCTCTGCCTTGTGCTTGTCTGAACGGTACTCACAGGAGCGCTGACAAAGTATCACCAGGACATCACCTTCGAGAAGCTTTCTGACAGGTAAGAGAGACACCATCTGACTAGTCGCTGCCAATACACAAGACACCTCACTTTAGGTATTATGTACAGAGAAGGGGTTGCCGCCGTGCTCTCGCGTACGGCCAGCTCAGGGCTCACGGCAAGAGCAGGGCTTTCTGTTTGGAACAACTTACACCTACAGACAACAAACACCAAGAAACATGCAAATGCTGCGGAAGGCTGGGTGTGAAGAATTCGTATTTTACACCAGTGAGGGGACACTGCTACAAAACGTTGATGGGATGGTTTCTGTCGTCCATGCTCGAACACGAGGGTCTCTGCAACACAGGGGCCCGGGAAGGTGTGTGCTTCTCCTTTTTCCTTCTTCAGGATTCACAGTTGGTTCTGTGTCAGGCACTGAGCAATCTGGCTTCTGGTCCGAACAGGTGTCTTAGGGGGGGTCACTTTATATCTTTCTGTCCCTCTGTGGAGGAGCAAGTTCAAAGGCCGGGAACCGTGAGGTCTCTGGTGCCAGGATGTCGGAGAGAAAGTGAATGGCACCGGCCATGCCTGCAACGTAAATGTGGATCCTCTTACTAAAGGGCACACAAGGATGGTCGGAAACACACTGACCTTCAATCATTCCTGTACCAGGGGCTGTGACGCTGATGGAAAAGGTGCTGAGGACTTTACGAATGACTTCATAAAAAAAAAAAAAAAAACAAACAGAAAATGGAACGAAGAAATTCTGATATTAGCACCCAGCAGATAACAGTAAATTTTCTTCCCTGTCTTATTTTTTTAAAAAAATCTGGGCTTTAATCTCCTAACAGAATGGCTCCCTAAATAGTTATGGGTGCTGCTATCCCTATTTCAACAAGAAACCTTCCTTTCTCAAAGCTTTATTCTTAGTCCACACAAAAGGCTGCATTTTGTATCTTCTTTAGATTTTAAGAATGCTACTTTAATTTTTGAGAAAGTTTGAGTTTTCATTCCAGTGTAGTTAACATACACCGTTAGCTCCAGGTACAATTCAGTGATGTGACACTTCATACATTACTCAGCGCTTGTCAAGTGGACCCTTCATCCCCAGCACCTGTTTCCCCCGCTCCTGCCCCTCCCTCTGGTGACCAGCATGTGTTCTCTATAGTTAAGAGTCTGTTTCTTGGTTTTTCTTTTTTCCCTTTGTTTTTTTTTCTGTTTCTTAAATTCCACATAGGAGTGAAATCACATGGTGTCTTTCTCTGACTGACTTACTCTGCTTCAGCAGAATTCACTTAGCTCCATCTATGTTGTTACAAATGTTAAGATTTCATTCTTTTTATGGTTGAATAGTATTCGATTATTCACACACACACACGAATGCTACTTTAAAATAAACTTTGTTTTTGGGGCGCCTGGGTGGATCAATAGGTTAAGCATCTGACTTCAGCTCAGGTCATGGTCTCAGAGTCCAGGGATCAAGCCCTGTGTTGAGCTGTGTTCAGTGGGGACTCTGCTTGTCTCTGCCCCTCCTCCTGCTCATGTGCTCATTCTCTCTCAAATAAATAAAATCTTAAAAAAAAAAAAAAAAGAAAATGAACTTTGTTTTCATCAAATCCCCATCTCAGGTCACTGCAGTCTGCATTAAGATCGGGCTTTAGAAACTGACCTACAGGAGGGTGGGCGAGGAAGCCTGTGAGCTGGCTCCAGCCTGCAGGCCTCTCATCTCCCTTTTCAATCAGAACAATTCTTCCCTTACTGGATTTTTGTTTATACTTTTTCTTTTCTTTTCTTTTTTTAAAAAAACCCTTGAAAAAAAAATTTTTAAGACTTAATTTATTCATGAGAGACACAGAGAGAGAAGGCAGAGACACACAGGCAGAGAGAGAAACGGGCTCCATGCAGGGAGCCCGATGTGGGACTCGATCCTGGGTCTCATGATCATGCGCTGGGCTGAAGGTGGCACTAAACTGCTGAGCCACCCGGGCTGCCCTATACTTTTTCTTTTGATGTAAAATTTACATGCAATGAGACACACAAGTCTTCAGGGGACTCCTCTGAGTTTTGACAAATACATACACTTGTGTAAAACAAACTCCTCTCAAGAGATAGGGAATATTTCCATCACCTCCCCCCAGAAGTTCCTGTGTGTTCCTCTGTAGCCTGCCTCCACCGCCATCCCCAGCAAGGATTAGTTTGGCTTGTTTCAGAATGTCCTTCGAATGGAACCCCATGATACACAGCCTGTTGTGTCTGGCTTCTTCCCTCAAAGATTTTGCAATTCATTCATATTTTGTGTGTGTCACTAGCTGTTTTCCTATATTTTGGTTGTTCCCAAAGTTCCCTATAACTTTTTGTTTGAAGAAAAGGTTCTAGTAGCTTAAGAAATCTGAAAACCACTGACTCATTAGAACCTATTAGAAATAGACAATGACTCATGACACCCTAGAGTGGTCTATGCTGAAATGACCTTTGTTTTCTTCTTTTGGTGGGGTGGAGCACGCATCCTCCACGAAAAGATTTAGAAATATTTGAAGGGCACTAACAGGTCCACAATATAGGTAAGGCAGAGAGACTCCATATAAGTTTCAGCAATAAACTACCTCGTTCACAGTTATTTTACAGTTGTGAAGTTATTACTCAAGTAAGAGCAGACGTAATTGACCCAGTGCCGAGAGACACAGAAGGACCAAATTCACTCAGGCAGAGAGTTAAACCTGGTGTTTTCTGCTCACTCTTACCTTCAAAGAGAGAATAGGGTCTGTCAGGAATGCGGCACCCGTGTGCTCCATATTCTAGACACCACTCTGCAAACTAAGAAGAAACATATTTAAGAGCAGAGATTTCACCTGGTGAAGAGGCAACAACGAATTCACCAAGAACCCAAGGAAGAAGATTCCTGAGCACCAGAGAGGGATCAACATGGCAAAGACAGGCCAGGGGTATGGCTGTGCCAAGAGACACAGGGGAGACCACAGAGGTGGGAAAAACAGATTAAGAGGAGAGAAGCTGTATTTTTGGATTTTGTGCATGCTCTGGAGTATTCAAAAGTTGGCTGGATAAAGACTCCTTACTTTGCAAGCTCGGTAGAGATACTTTTTATCCTGCGTGAGATGGTACAGGGACAGGAAAGAATAGCCATTCCCAGCTGTTCCGTGGCAGATCCCATAGCCCTTCCGAAGCAAACCTCGCTGCCAAATGACATCGCTACACTCCATGGCATCTTTCAAGTATTTCTCCTCCTTAAAGACCTGGGCAATGAAAAGCAAAGCAGTGTTAAAAAGAGGTTTTTAGGGACTTCAGGGACACCTGGGTGGCTCAGTGGATGAGCATCTGCCTTTGGCTCAGGGTGTGATCCCAGAGTCCCGGGATCGAGTCCCTGCATGGAGCCTGCTTCTCCCTCTGCCTATGTCTTTGCCTCTCTCTGTGTCTCATGAAAAAATACAATCTTTTTTTTTTTTTTTTTTTAAAAAAAAAGAGGTTTTCAGTGATGAGTTAGCAAATAGTTTCCCTTTCTGGTGAGTAAATGATACAACATTAAGAAACCTGAAATAGTTCCGGGGGTAAAACAAAAACTACCAGCAACACCACAGTACAGCACCTTACAATCTGCCCATCTCTTCTCCTTGTCCTCTTTGTTCAAGGTTTTGCAAGAGCAATTCTAAAATTCAGTTAAAAAATTAAAACAAGGGCGCCTGGGTGGCTCAGTCAGTTGAATGTCTGCCTTCGGCTCAGGTCATGATCTGGGGCCTGGGGTCAAGCCCCACATCAGGCTCCCCGCCCAGGGGAGAATCTGCTTCTCCTTCTGCCTACTGCTCTGCCTGCTTGTGCGCTCTTGTTCTCTCTTTCTCTGTCAAATAAAAAAATAAAATCTTAAAAAAAAAAATGAAAACAAAAGCTACCAGAAACTCTTTGGTTAAGATGTTACATCACAAATAACCATTCTGTGCTTCCTAGAGCAATATAACCTGTAGTGCTAAAACCTCTGCTTCTGGTCAACTTCTGAAGTCAACTGAGGGATTGATGATTCCGCAATATCCTGTCACCTAGGTCAAGAATCCTCCATATCCTGGGGCAGCCACATTATCAGTAAGACCCTGAGGGCCTGGCACTCTCCGGGTTGGGAGTTGTGTCATAATCCATCCCAGGGAAACCTGCACGCCGCCTCCTGCAGTTCCTGGAGCAGACTTGCTGGGCTGCAGGACTCACTGGCACTGCCTCCACTCAGTGCTTTACATGCAGAGACACAAATGAGCTCAGTGAAGACAACTACCTGGCAGGAGGAAGCGGCTTTCGCCTCCTCAAATTCCCTTTTAAATTTTCTTCTCTTTCTCCTCACATTTCATTTATTCTGTGTCTCTAGTCCTTCCTTCAGAATCTATCAGTAATCTCTACTTGCTTCCCTCATTCCATGCTAGTGTAAGTCAGTTTTGGACAATGAATTTGAGGCAAAAAGGTCACCAGAGATGATCTCCTTGGGGGTAACAAACAGGATTCATCTACCTGTGACTGATTAGTAGTGGCCAAAAAAAGAAAAAAAAAGGGATGAACTATGTGAATCAGTGTCTGCAGAGGGCAGGAGAAGGGGAAAGAGAGAGACATTTGCGTTTTACCCACTATTCCTGATGCAGAATCTATTCACCAGGGTGGGAAGCAACACTCTTAACTCATGAAAGCAACTGAGATGGGGACTCTGGGGTCAGAGCACCTGAGATTGAATCTCAGCTCTGTCACCTTTTAACTATGTGACCTGGCCCTGGACAAGTCGCTCAAGCTCTTATATCTCAGTGTTCTCAACTATAAGAGGATACTACTAGTTCTTCATCTCAGTGGCTTGTTATGAGTATTGATGACATCAAATCAATCAAATGGGGGAAAATAAAAATCTTTTCAATAAACAATGTAGGAACAATCAGATATCCTGATTAAAAAAAAAGAATCTCTCTTCTTACCTCACATATACCAACCTAATATATAAAATATACATATAATATACAAAACTTATTCAGAGTTCTGAATCTAAAACCATGCAGTGTGAAGAATATTAACTGTATAACCTGGGAGTGAGTAAAATTTTGTGACATATAAAGGGAAATCTCATTAAGATGGAGGTGGGAGGTTAGAAGGGAAAGCCCACCACTCTAGTCAATTCCAGAAAGACTTGTCAATTATAGACCCCAAGAGAAGAGGAAACAGAACAGAATTACCGATTATAGGCTCCAATAGGGAAAAAGGCCCACTGCATCTCCTACTAGTCGATTTGACTACCCCCTGCAACTCTGCCAATGAGAAACTGTCATGACCCTGAACTTTTTTCCAATGGACTTACATTCAAAACAATCTCTCCCCCCTTCCTCCTTCTCCATAAAATAAGGTTCGTCTCCTTTGTTTGTTGGATTTGCCTATGGTTTTGTCATAGTTTGTTTATCCCAAAATGTACTTCTCTGCTATTCTCGAAGAAAACTGTTTTGCTGGTAAAATAACTGGCTGTTTTATTATTTAGGCTAACAGCTTCTTAGACAAGATACTGAAAGAAATTACCATTAAAAACTTGATAAAACATAGACTTTATCAGAATTAAGAACTCTACCCATCGGAAGATACCATAAAGATTATAATTTGCCAAAACATATATGCAAAACAGATACCTCACAACTTAATAATAAAAAGATAAAAGAATAAAACAACATGGGTAAAAGAAATGAACAAACGTTCAACAAAGGAAGACATATAAATGACCCATGAACAGAAGCAAAATTGCTACCCATTAAAAACTACAATGAAATATCCACCAGAATAAAGTTAAAAAGCCTTTCAGTATCAAGTGCTGTCAAAGATATGAACTCTCTTACATTGCGGATAGAATGTAAAAGGTACAACAACTGTTACTCTTTAAAAAGTAAAAGCAGTTTCTTACAGTTAGTCTCTGATCCAGCAATTCCACTCCTAGATTTTGGCCCAAAAGAAATGAAAATGCACGTCTACAAAAAGACCTGTACAAGAATGTTCATAGCAGCTTATTCGTAAGAGTAAAAAATGAGAAACAACTGGAAAACAAATTGCTAGAGTGTGGTAGATTTATATAAAAGTGATGCTTAAACTTATTAGGAAGGCATCAAATCTGGAGGAAGAGGGGAAGAAAGCATAATTTGAAAGAATCTCTCCAGCTGATCCTGATATGCACTCCTAGAAAGACAGTCCATGCTTCAAATAATCAACTTACAAATGAGCTTTGGGAACACAGTTTATATGAAAACGTTTTCTGACATATGGTGAACGGCTAACCATCAGGGAGCATTTCTAATACAGCTCTCCTCTGGGGTTTTCAGCTTGGGCGTGTAGGTACAGGCGTGGGGAAGGCATGGTGGCTTCAGACATTAGCACAGAATCAAAAGATTACATCAGTAGCACTGTGGTTTGTCCGACATGGTTCTCCTGGGCAAGTAGGTTTGTAAATACCTTCCCAAACACAATTTTCACTTGACCAATGTTAGCATTTGTTTATAGTGCCTGAAGCCACAAAACCTGCTAATGCCAGAGGGCCCATAGTGTGCAGTTAGAAGAAGGTAGAATTTGTTATCATTACCTGTAGTTTACTGTCAGATAATCAAGAACTGCTCAGCAAAATAGCTTCCAGCCATACGGTCCGCAATGGACCTTGTTAGAAAATCATTTGCAATTGATAAAAGTCCTAAAATAGCATAGACTATTATTAAAACCTTGACATTTTTTCAAGGATCATTTAAAATCCCATATAATATTAAATGAACAAATAATATATGTTCGTACAAAGTAGAGTACACCTAACTACACGAATGATTAGCTATAGGAAGGGAAAACAAATTAAGTGAACCTAGACTCAATTTGCAGTTTTCTTTGTGAAGGATATTAGCATTCTTCCAAATACCTGAAAACCTATGCTTTCATAAAGATTCTTGAAGTACTCATGAGTTCACATGCCAGCAAGAGAAACTGTTGAAAACTTACTACATAAAATGTAAGTACTTTGTAATTCTGAGAGAGCTTCAATGAATGCAGATGCTTGTAATTTGAGTTAACAATACCCTGAGAGTTGGGACGCCTGGATGGCTCAGTGGTTGAGTGTCTGCCTTGAGCTCAGGGCGTGATCCCGGGGTCCTGGGATGGAGTCCTGCATTGGGCTCCTTGCAGGGAGCCTGCTTCTACCTCTGCCTGTGTCCCTGCCTCTTTCTGTGTCTCTCATGAATAAATAAAATCTTTAAACAAACAAACATAAAAAACCTCAATAACTTGAGAGAAAATGGAGCCTTGAGCTGTGTTTCTCTAGCTTTGCATTTCCACCTCTCCACCCACCAACCCTGCTCTGTTTCTGCCCGCACCAACCCTCTGCCTTGGTCAAACACGAATCTCACACTTCACTCACACCTCTGATTGTAAAACTATGCCATATATGCCCTTTCATTTTTTTTTTAAAGACTTTATTCATTCATTCATGAGAGACACAGAGAGAGAGGCAGAGACACAGGCAGAGGGAGAAGCCGGCTCCATGCAGGGAGCCCGATGTGGGACTCGATCCCAGGGCCTCAGGATCATGCCCCGGGCTGAAGGCAGGCACCAAACCACTGAGCCACCCAGGGATCCCCCATATATGCCTTTCCAAATTAAAATTGATGCCTTCTGCCCCCAGGGATTCTGGTGTTCCTTGCCTTCCTCATGTTTGAGAATCTGGATGTAAATGGACAGAACTGAGCTTTACTGGTCTTAGTATGTCTTTGTTCCATGCTTTCTAGGAGAGAACTTTCTGTTTTGGAGTGAACAGAGCAGGGACAGAGGTTCAAATGATATTCTGAGCCAAAGCTGGACAGGCAGCAGCTGGTCTGAGACATCTGTGGCATTGCTAATAGCAGAGCTCTGCTATGTTTGCTCCCGGCCTGACTAGCAGTGGTAGAAACAGATGGCAGTGCAGGTCAGCAGGCTAGTAGAAATGGACCTCCTTACACTGATGGCCCCACTGGAAGCCCCGGCTCCTGATTACCTGCTTACCACTGGCTCAGGGGTAGGGGTGGGGGAGACCCTCAGAAGGCAAGACTATTAGTCATGCAGGGTGCCTCCTTGTATTGCTTATCCTCTTCAGTGTGAAAGACAAAAATGAATCTGACAAAAGTTTTTACTTTTTATCAGTTATACAATCTTTTTTGAGTATCAAAGGGTCCTTTTTTGTCAACAGTACATTCCTATTATGGTTGGATATTTATGATATTATAGATTTATCTCTGTCGCTGAAATTACAACAATCACTCTAAAGCCTCTAAAAAGGGAGGCAGCAATTTGAACAGAATTCTCTTAATTTAAAAACTTAGGTGCTGTTAGGATGAATCATAAAGTTCTTCTGATTTGCAAAGAGTTTATTTCACTGTGTTTTGTTCTAACCGAATATCATAACTTTCTGAGTTATTTTCTTAAATGCTCATGCCTTTTATATTTGAATACTTTAGGTGTTACTGTTGTGGGGGGGGGGTGTGAAAAATTCTAAGAAATTAGCCTAAATCATGAGTGGTAATTCCCCACAATTTTTCTAAATAATTTATTATGGTTAGTCACAAAGGGAAAATAAAATTGATTCAGAAACTTTTGTTATTTCCAAGTAGAAATATGAATTCTGCTTCATTAATTCTGTCTATTTCTACAAAACAAAGAGACTTTGCCAAGACACTAATCATTCATTGTGGTTACTGTTAGGTACTACTGGGCAGAGGACTTGAAAAGACATTCTTGCAAAGAAGACCTACATACAGATGGCTAACAGGCAATGAGAAGACATTCAACGTCACTAATCACCAAGGAAATACAAATCAAAACTATAATGAAGTATCATCTCACACCTGTCAGAATGGCTAAACTCAGAAAGACAAGAAATCATAAGTGTTGGAGAGGATATGGAAAAAAGAAACCCTTGTGCATGATTGATGGGAACGTAAATTGGTTCAGCCACTGTGGAAAACAGTATGGAGGTTCCTCAAAAATTTAAAAATAGAGATAAGCATGTGGTCCAATAATTCCACTACTGGGTATTGACCCAAAGACAACATAAACACTAATTCAAAAGGATATATGCACCTCTGTTTACTGCAGCATTATTTATAATAGCTGAGATATGGAAGCAACTTAAATTTCCATTGACAGATGAATGGATAAGATGTGGTGTGTGTGTTTATATATATATATATATATATATATATATATATATATATTACTCAGCCATAAAAAAAGATGAGATCATGCTATTTGGGAAAACATGGATGGAGCAAGCAGATATTATGCTAAGTGAAATAAGTCAGACTGAGAAAGGGGCAAATAGCGTTAAGATTTCCCCCATATGTATTATCTAAAAAAGAAAAATGAATAAACAAACAAAAAGTAGAATCATACCTGTAAATACAGAGAACAAATTGACGGTTTTGGGAGATGGGCAAAATAGGTGAAGAGGAGTGGGTGGCACCGGCTTCCAGTTGTGGAATGAGTAAGTCATGGGAATAAAAGACACAGTGTAAGGAATGTAGTCAATGACACTGTGATAGCCTTGCATGGTGACAGACGGTGGCTACATTTGGGAGCACAGCATAACACAGAAGTTTGTGGAATCACTACACCGTATGCCTGAAACTAATAAAACACTGTGTGTTTAAAAATTTTTTTTAAGATTTTATTCATTTGGGAGCTGGAGTATACAAGTGGGGTGGGGGAAGGGCAGAGGGAGGGGTTGAGAAGCAGACTCCCTGCTGAGCACAGAGCCCAAGGATCATTAACTGAGTTGAAGGCCGACACTTAACTGACTGAGCCGCCCGAGGTGGGCTCAAATAAGAAATTTAAAAAATAAAATGTGGTAGTTTTCTTTTTTTTTTAATAAATTAATTTTTATTGGTGTTCAATTTACCAACATACAGAATAACACCCAGTGCTCATCCCGACTAGAGTCCCCCTCAGTGCCTGTCACCCATTCACCCCCACTCCCCGCCCTCCTCCCCCTCCACCACCCCTAGTTCATTTCCCAGAGTTAGAAGTCTTTATGTTCTGTCTCCCTTTCTGATATTTCAAATGTGGTAGTTTTCTAAAAAAACTTGAAAACATGTTTTCTCTTTACACATTCATTTTTTTCCAAGAAAGGATAAAAAAACTTAAATGTTACAGAATATAACAATAAGCCGTTTATAATTTCAACTCCTATGTAACATGTTAAGAAAACACTTAAAAACACATGAAAAAAACCCAGAAGCATTGTTTGCTTTCAACTTACAAGGTTAATTCTTAGTCCAGAAGAAAAATCAAAGTATTCTTAATATTGTGTCTAAATATTATCTTGAGACTACCAAAATTAATCAGTAAAGGTACTGCCTATTTTTCTATAACCCTTCATATGTGTAAAACTTTAAACATCACACTTATCCCTTATGAGTGATTTTATAACAATTTTAAACCCAAATTTAAAAGGCCCTGAATAAGCATCATCATCCAATAATAAAGTCTTGACTCAAGCAAGAAAATAAAATGATCTGAAGTCAAAAAAGCATTTGGTTATAAGAGTGCCTCTGCCTTATCGGACAGTCATACTCTGAATAAAATCATCACTATGCTGTCACCCAGGTTTTCTTTTACACATGAATATAATTCCCACTAACACACACACACACATACACTTACACTTACAGCTCCAACCACAGGGGTGATAAAGCGAAACAGGGAGACTTTGTTTTGTAAAAACATGAATTCTAGAAGGTTTTTAGTTTGCAATCAAATGTGCTGGCCAGGATCAAACTGCAAACCTAGTAGAGGAAAAAGTGGATTTCTAAACATAAAATGCTTATGATACGTGGAAGTTCTGACCTTGTAAGCTTGCATAAGCATGTGGATGACACCTGGGGCACCGTGACACCAGTGGACCAAGCGATCTGTTTCGTTGCTTAATGATGACGGATAATTCCCAGATCGGAATCTTTTGTGGCGCACATAATCAATACTAGGCTTCACCATTTCTGTCAAGGTTTCTTGGTCCACTTTTGCTGCTGGCTTTAAATAAATAAATAAAAACAGAACAATGAATTTATTTTTTCTTAAGTTTTTTTTTTAAGCCTTTGTATTATAGTTAATATAACAAAGCATCAATTACCTGGGCTACTTGAGAAGCATATAAAATTCAAATTAATTCAATTATCTGGGTATTTAAGACTTGGGCAGGCCTTTTTTTGTTTCAGCTTTTTTTGATGCTGAAGATAGAGACTGAAGGGCATCTGCTGGAGAACTGCCTTGCTCAGCGCAGGTCAGGAATTGCTCCGTCCCACTGCCAGGAGGCTGCACTGTGGACGGGCCCTAAGTGCTCAGCAGGGAAGAAGCTCGAATGAGTCTGCTCCAGCACACTACTGTCTAGTGGTCGCTACAAGAAAACTGACACTGATTTATATAGAGAATTTTGACTAAATAATACTTCCACGTTCTTCACTTTATTTTTTTTTAAATATTTTTAATTTTTTTTTAATTTATTTATGACAGTCACAGAGAGAGAGAGAGAGAGAGAGAGAGAGAGAGAGAGAGAGAGGCAGAGACACAGGCAGAGGGAGAAGCAGGCTCCATGCACCGGGAGCCCGACGTGGGATTCGATTCCGGGTCTCCAGGATCGTGCCCTGGGCCAAAGACTGGCGCCAAACCACTGCGCCACCCAGGGATCCCCGTTCTTCACTTTAAAAACAGATAAATGGGACAACCTCATGGGCGTTTCTCTCAGGGAAACCCCTAATATCTAACAAAATTAATGTCAACACCTACATCTAAACTAGGTTACATCTCACTGGTGTGGTTTCCGTATAGTTATGTTCCCCTAACATTATCATTTAAAAAGAAAGTTTCGAAAGCTAGTGGTAAAACATTTTCCTGGGGAAATAGAAAACACACACAAACCAACTTTCCAGAATAACAATGCTATTTCTAAATGAGATAAAGAATTCTAGTTACTTTGGAAACGTGTCTGCACTATAAGGAAAATGTCACAAATTGGAATATATTGTTTTACTGTCTACAACAATAAATAAAGACAACTAAGTACCAGAAAAGGGCACATTAGTCCTGTTTAGATATGAATTTCCTTTACTGACAGAATAGGTTTAAGAAGGGAATTTGAAATAAAAATTTTAAAAAGGAATATATGGGTTTTTAGTAAAAAAAGATCTAAATTCTAATCCATGCTTCTTGACCAGCTTTGTGATTCTGAACATTAACTACTCTGTTGTGGGTGTGGCAGATAAAGAAAGGTATAATTGAAAAAAAAAAAAAGTAGGCTACACATGTACAGAGCAGAGGAGGGAACCGCAGGCTACAAGGCTGGAAGCAGGGTGACGCGGTATTCGGGGTGGAGTCTATCTGCCGCACAGAACAGCAAAGACTCAACCCAGTAGATGTCAAGTATGATTAAGAGACGAGTATACGCACAACAATAAACTAGTAAAAATTTAGAATACAACTGATAGCAAGTTGGGGGTACCTGGATATGGAAAGTCTCTGCCCCTGTCTGGATTCTGGAGGCCCTTCTGCTCCCTGAAGGTTCCCCTCTATCCAGAGAGTAACTACTTCAATGAGCAGAAAAACATGGACAAAGAAAAATGTAGGCAACAGACACCTAACCCAGTACAAAGCTGCGTGTGAAATGTGCTCTGAGCACCTCCCTGCTTGGGGTTCATGAAGCAGAGCTAATAAGCATCTATGATTCGATGTAGGATCCTTAGTTTATTCCAGCCTGCTTGACTTATACTAAAATTTCAGTCCCCATTTCCTATTTGGTCAAACACTTCATGCTGCAGTCACTGTATTAGTATTTCAGAGCATTTGTACTTACCTGCATTAACATGTAGTAGATTCCAGCCATGCCATGGGCTGCTCCTACATACTGCTTCCTGTGCCACTGATACAGCAGCGGACAGCGCTCGGCCTTCCTTTCTTCCCTTGACAGAGTCTTGCCTGATTCAATAATAGCACAGACCACCTATGGAGATAATGAGACCGTGTCAATCTGGACACCATCCTGCTTTCATCTAATACTAACAATTCTATATAGATTACCTAATTTAAAAATCCTTAAAGCAGCCAGTAGCCACCACTGTTACTGTTAGTTTACAAACTAGTAAATAAAGGCAGAGAGAAATCAGAAGACAATCTCGGAGTAGAAAAAGAAATTAGGAAGTCAAATTAAAAGTTTTTTGTATGGGATCCCTGGGTGGCGCAGCAGTTCGGCGCCTGCCTTTGGCCCAGGGTGCGATCCTGGAGACTCGGGATCGAATCCCACGTCGGGCTCCCGGTACATGGAGCCTGCTTCTCCCTCTGCCTGTGTCTCTGCCTCCCTCTCTCTCTCTCTCTCTCTCTCTCTCTCTGTGACTATCATAAATAAATAAAATTTTTTAAAAAAAGTTTTTTGTATGAACAGTTTACTGGAATATAGAAAAACTTCCTTATAAAAATCAGACAGAGTTGCCTTGTCACTGCAACGCTTCCTCCAAGACTGGTCGTACATCTTCTAGGAGAGGCTGGAGGAACTGGCCTTATTTATGAAAGGCTAATGAAATGAGGTCTATCGAGGAAAGCGGATTTTAGTTAAATCAAAAGAATATCATATCTGTAATGACTATGTAGCAAAGACACAAATTGTTTCCTCCTATCCTTTCTCTCTTCATACTTCGGTAACCACGCTCCAAGTTCTAGCTGGGCATCGGGCTTCTTCGCTACAAACAGACACAGTACTTTGACTAAGTTCTGGAAATAGGATGTGAGCAGAAGCGAAGCAGACAACTAACTTCTGGATCACAGCCTTAAAAAAAGAAGGTGCTTATCCTCTATGTCCCCCCCAGTCTTGAGCGGAAAGGTGCTCAATTAGCTTTAGTCTTGCAGATAAGGGCATGCCCCTAGGATATGGGAGAGAACGAGAGAAGAACCCAGATCCTTAGGCATATTCACTGGGACAGCCTACCAATTCAGATACTTTATGAAAGAGAACTAAATATTCAATCTTTTTGAAGCTGCTGTTGTTTGGTTCTAGTTAAAACGGGTGAATTAACAGGCTGAGAGGACAGATTTTTATTTTTTATTATTTTGTTCTATTTTTTTTGAGGACAGATTTTTAAAGAACATTCCTAGAAAGGAAAAAAAAAAAGGGAGCTATTTATTGATTTTATGAGCTACCTTAAGAAATCACTCGTTCCCACCTAGATGCAGAGTCCAGCCACTAACATAGCTCTGTGCTAACAAACGGGTTGGAATGATAGGGATGGCCCCACAGTTGGCGGCAGCCCCACAGTACCTCTTTAATAGCTGACTCACACACCGTGCCTGGACCAATCTCCGTGTTCAGGTAGAGTAAGGCATACAGATAACCTGCCCGTCCATAAAGCAGCTCATCGGGAAGGTCTGAATCGCGGCACACGATGGTTCTCTGGAGCTGTAAAAGTCTACCCAACAAGAAAAATTCTGTTTTCCCAGAGAATGTCTGAAACACCTCTTCCTAAAGCTGTTGGTAACCTAACACTTTAGAAATTACCTGTTATTTGTTTTTAATTTAGAACTGACTTCAAGAAATACAAACAAAACCCAAACAACAAAAACCTATGACACTAGTTTCTTTCTCAGATGTCACATTAATAATACACCCTACTGTTCAAAATATCTATCTTTATATCAGTCTAAAGCATGTAAGAGATGATATTCAATTTTGAAACCCAGAATTAGAAGGAAGTGAATTAAAATTTAAAAGAAAACAGTACTAAAATGTAGTAAATACTTGGGAAATAGCTCGAGTCGCTCTGTCTTCCAGGCAACATCAACTGAGCAGCATGTGCCAGATACTCCGCCAAACCAAGGGAGTAGGCCCTGATTTCTACCCCTTAAAAAAAGAATGTAAACCAATGGGTGCAATACAAATTTTATACTTTCTAATTGTTCTAAAACAATAGAGCCTAAAAATAACTTGGTTATGGTACTGAATCTAAAGCATATGAGCTAATTTTCACGTGACGAAGGCAACCAAAAGTTACTTAGGGAAAAGATTAGAGTAACATCATGTTTATTTGTTCCAAAATTAAGGCCGACACAAGCTTGGATAGAAAGGGAGGCATATGATCTTATCATTATGTTTAAGGTTAATATACAAACCTCTTCACTTCTCAGAAAAACCTGTTTGCAACAGCAGATGAATTAAAAAATAAGTTCCTTTTTCAATGTCTTTCTACATAAGACCTTGAATAGAGAATTTAGACAAAATACTTCCAGTTTTAAAAACTCACTTTGTGATGCATTCCTGGGACTCGCAATCGCTTTTGAGTTTATGATATACCACAGCTCCTACAGCAAGGGGTCCAGCATCTCCACAGAGGAAAGTGACCCTGCGGCCGTTCAGATTCCGAAGTGTTCTCTTCACGTAATCCAGGGATCGGAGCAGGTAAGTCTGGTCGCATGTAACCCGGTACAACTGTAGGTACAAAAGAGCTATGCCTGCAAAATTCCCCCACCCCCAAACAAAAGCATTATTACCTTTCTTTTTCACTTTCAGGGCATTATTTTATGATCCTATGAAAAACTTAACCTAAACCCTATGTTTCTGAAGGAGCACCATCAAATAAATTACGTATGGTACAACTTTTAAAAACAGAAGGAAAAAAAAGAAAAAGAAAAAAAAACCCCTCAGGGTAGAAAAAGCTTAAACCATTTAAATTAAATCCATCACCTTGCCAACGGCTCTGATACAGTGACTCAGTACTTCCTAGACAAGGTAAAACTTAACACTTCCCACGCATTCCCATTTTCTGTACATTCAGTTCAAGATTTTATTCCTTCTCTGGATTGTAAACTAACTTGGATCCTTTTCCTTTTACTTCTCATATAATCATTTCCTCCTATCTTATCCAAGTTAAATAATTACTTTCTAAGTTTTACACCCTCTTTCTAATTTTTATATATTTCTCACAATTTTTCAATTTTTTTTAGTGACTAACCTATCCAAATGACCAACCAACCAGTGAGTCAACTCACTGCCTATGGAAATGCCATATGAGGCAGAGCAGGATAACAAACACACAAGGCAGTTTATCACCTATGCAACCTTCCTATCTCAAAGATTTTATTTATTTTTTATTTAGGGAGAGAAAAGACTCTGAAGACTCCGAGCTGAGTGTGAGCCCGACAGAGGGCTTGATCTCAAGACCCTAAGATCATGACCTGAGCTGAAACCAAGCGCCGGAGGCTTAACTGACTGAGCCATCTAGGCACCCCGCAACCTTCCTATTTTGAAGAACAAATCTGGACACCTAAGTGAACCAGAGAGATCTTTTTCCAAAAATCTACAGAGGATGACCTATATGGATTCTGAAAGAAGCCTATTATTCCTGGACTCCAGTTACTATGATGGTTACGTAAAAAATCCATCTGTATAAATATAAACTTAATAAAATATAAAGTATTGAAGGAAATGTTATGATGGTGAGAAGCGCAAACAGAACGTTTATTCATGTTTGAACTGGGATTCTCTAATATTATGTTGTCTAATATCCTACTCTCACTTCTATTATTTTTCATTTTGCTTTTTATTTTGTTTTGTTTCATTTGAGTATAATTGGCACACAACATTAGTTTCACATGTACAACATAGCATGTTGTACAACTGGTGAACAAGTCTGTGTTCTGCTACACATTTTGCTTTTTAAATTTCTCTAAATAGGTAGCTTCTTTTTTCATTAATTCTCCATTTCAGGGTATCCTCTTTCCCTTTCAGATGCTTAACATCTCTATCTCTCTCCATACATTTGGAAAGTCCTTTTTGCATTATCCATTTCCTGGAAGTTGTTAAGTCAGACAGATATAAAAGTACGCATTTGTAAGCCTTGGAAAAGTATCCTTCCATATGAATTACTATGGGCTCTTGTATTTGTTTTTGTATTCAAAAAATTCAAATTATATACATATAGAAAGCAAGTCAGGGGTGCCTAGGTGGCTCAGTTGGTTAAGCAGCTGCCTTCAGCCTAGGTCATGATCCCAGGGTCATGCACCCTGTGGGAAGCCTGCTTTCACTCTGCTTCTCCTCCTTGCTCCTGCTCTCTCAAATAAGTAAATAAAAATTTAAAAGTTTAAAAAAAGTAAGTTAAATACCTACAAATTTCAAATGTAGTCATTATAAAAGGTTTACAAATAAGTACTTCATGATTGACTCAGAAATCCCTAAAAAATAGAATGATGATGTGGGCAGCCTATGAACCTTAAAACCTATCGTTATGTATGTATCAAATCTTAGATATTTTAATTACCACATTAATTTTATAGAGGGAGCAAAGGCAGAGGGGAAGATAAGGAATATTAAGCAGGCTCCACATCCAGCACAGGGCCCAATGTGGGGCTTGATCTCACAACCCCGAGACTATGACCTGAGCCAAAAACAAGAGTTGGACACTTACTGACTGAACCATTCAGGCGCCCTATTTATTTTTTTAATGTTACAGTCAGGTCTTTTTTTTTTTTTTAATTAATTTGTTTATAAGTAATCTCCACACTCAACATGGGGCTCGAATTCTCAATCCTGAGATCAAGAGTCACATGCTCTTAGAACTGAGCCAGCAAGATGCTCCAATGCTCAAGTATTTTAAAGCAAATGATAGGCAAAATATTTTTTTGAAAGATTTTATTTATTCATGAGAGACACACACAAAGAGAGGCAGAGACACAGGCAGAGGGAGAAGCAGGCTCCATGCAGGGAGTCTGACGGAGGACTCGATCTTGGGTCTTTAGGATCAGGCCCTGGGCTGAAGGCGGCGCTAAACCATTGGGCCACTGGGGCTGCCCCAGCAAAATATTTTTATAAAAACTCATCCTAACATTTCACCTTTAAATACTTCAGTATGATTATCTAAAATATATAAACCTATTTCTATAAGTCAAAATAGCACTATAACTATCGAATGAATAATTGATAAGTGAAACTGAGCTTTGATTTTTTTTTTTTAAGTAAATCTTTGTCAGTTTTGGTACCACTATCATCCTTGCTTCATAAAAGTAACAGGAACTATTCCTTATTTTCCTAACCTCTGAAACAGTTTATTTTTTTATTTTCTTAAAGATTTTATTTATTCACAAGAGACACAGAGAGAGAGAATCAGAGACATAGAGAGAGGGAGAAACAGGCTCCCTGTGGGGAGCCTGGTGCAGGACCAAATCCCAGGACCCCGGAATCATTCCCTGAGCCAAAGGCAACCACTCAACCACTAAGCCACCAAGGCATCCCTGCCTGAAACAATTTAAAAGTAGCAAAGAAAAAAAGTAACACTGAGAGTTCCTGTTGTCAATTATTATTAAAAATTTTTTTAATTCAGTATAGCTAAGGTACAGTGTTATATTTGTTTCAGGTATACAAAACAGTGAGTCAACAATTTTATACATTACTCAGTGCTCATCACAAGTGCACTCCTTAATCTCTATCATCTGTTTCACCTACCCTCCCCCACCCACTTCCCTTCTGGACACATCATCTTTATTCATCAGTCAATGGACATTTGGGCTCTTTCCATAGTTTGGCTATTGTTGATATAGTGCTGCTACCAACATTGGGGGGTGCGTACTCCTTCAAATCTGTATTTTTGTATCGTTTGGGTAAATACCTAGTAGTACAATGGCTGGATCATAGGATAGCTCTATTTTTAACTTTTTGAGTATGGAGGATCCTCCATACTGTTTTCCAGAGTGGCTGCAACAGTTTGCATTCCCATCAACAGTGTAAGAAGATTCCCCTTTCTCCACATCCTTGCTAACATCTGTTGTTCCCTGAGTTATTTTAGCCATTCTGACTGCTGGGAGGTGGTATCTCATTGTGGTTCTGATTTGTATTTCCCTGATGCCGAGTGATGTTGAGCATTTTTACATGGGTCTGTTGGCCATCTGGATGTCTGCTGTGGATGTCTCTTCATGTCTTCCACCCATTTTTAATCGGATAATTTATTTGGTGTTGAGTTGCATAAGTTCTTGATAAATTCTATTCCTTTACAAGTAAGTTGTTTGCAAATATCTCCCACTCAGTACATTGTCTTTTAGTTTTGCTGTTTCCTTTGCCTGTAAAAGTTTTTTATTTTGATGTAGTCCCACAAAAAAAAGTGGCACGAGCATTTTCTGTTCTTTTAAAGAAATTGTCTCTTTTAATTAGTTTATTGTTTGTTTTCCCCTAGTTTTACTGAGGTATAATTGACAAAATTGTAGATACATGTGTACAAAAGGGCGATTTGATAGACTTATTCATGAAAACATTACCATAATCAGGCTGACACGTCTATTACTTCACATATCATTTTTTAAATGTGTGTGATGCGACCACCTAAGATCTACTCTCTTAGGGCAGTTCACCGGTTTAGCGCCATCTTCAGCCCAGGGTGTGATCCTGGACTTCCGGGGTTGAGTCCCACGTCAGGCTCTGTGCATGGAGCCTGCTTCTCCCTCTGTCTGTGTCTCTGCCTCTCTCTCTCTCTCATGAATAAATAAAATCTTTTTTTTTTGTTTTTTTAATTTTTTTTAAATTTTTATTTATTTATGATAGTCACACAGAGAGAGAGGCAGAGACATAGACAGAGGGAGAAGCAGGCTCCATGCACCGGGAGCCCGACGTGGGACTCGATCCCGGATCCCAGGATCGCGCCCTGGGCCAAAGGCAGGCGCCAAACCGCTGCGCCACCCAGGGATCCCCAATAAATAAAATCTTAAGAAAAAAAAGATCTACTCTCTTAGCAAATTTTAAGTATACAATACAGTATTATGAACTATAGTCACAATGCTGTACATTAGATCTAAAGAACTGGTATATCTTGTAACTGAAGGCTTGTACTCTATCTCTCCCATTTTTCCCACTCCACAACTCCTGGTAACCATGATTCAACTCTGTTTCTATGAGTTCAATTTTGTTTTTGTTTTTAGAATTCATATTTTTGTGAGATCATAGTCTGGTTTATTGCACATAGCATAATGTCCTCTAGACCCATTTTTGTTGTCACCAATGACAGGATTTTGTTTATTATTCATGTTAACATAGACAGAAATATATAAAAATACCACAACTTCTTTATTCATTCAACCATCATTGAATATTAAGGTTGTTTCCATATCTTGGCTATTGTGAATAATGCTGCAATGAACATAGGGGTGCATATATCTTTGTAAGTTAAGTTTTACTTCTTTGGAAAAAACCCAGAAGTGGAATTGCTGTATCATCTGGTAGTTCTATTTTAAACTTTTTACGTTTACATTTCCACCAAGAGTGTACTAGGGTTCCCCTTTCTCTGCATCCTTGCCAACATTGGCCATCTCTTCTATTTTTGATAAAAACCACCCTAGGGGATCCCTGGGTAGCTCAGCGGTTTAGCCCATGCCTTCGGCCTGAGGCGTGATCCTGGAGTCCTGGGATCGAGTCCCACATCGGGCTCCCTGCATGGAGCCTGCTTCTCCCTCTGCCTGTGTCTCTGCCTCTC